GAAATAAAAAGCAATACTTATCCTTTGCCGGTGTCCCTGCCCGGTGGAGTCGCACGGTAGAGTCGATGGTCTTTACACTCTTCAGTCTTCACAAGAGGAGGCCGTCAAGCGACGACTGCGGCTACCGCTGCCGCGGTAAACTATGCTTTTTTTATACCCGTCTATCAAAATAATAAATTAATTCAGCTGGACACACTTTCCTTATTTTTTCCACAAAAATTGGCCAAGCAAGCGCAGACACTGACAAGATACGCGATACAGAATGAGACCAATAAATATATAGTTTATTTATTTATTTATTTTTATTTTCCAAGTGTTTTCAATAAAAAAGCACCATGCACATTAATCAAAAAAAAAATTCTGTTTGTATAAATATACATCTTTAAAAAATTTAATTAAAAAAAACCCATATAAGTGCGTCATTTAAGTCATGCAAGGCTTTTGAAATCATGCTGTTGTATAAACTTTGTGTGAAGAACAGACTGAAATTTAAGCCGCCAGTCATTGAAAATGTATGTAAACGTGGCATGTGAAGACAGGTTTGTCATTGAAACAAAACTGGAGCATTTTAATTATTTTATTTCTTTGAAACTGACAGCCTTTGGTCAATACATGCTTTCGTTGTAAAGGAGCAGCATGAACATTCATCAAAACCTTTTCTTTTGTGTTTTTTTTTTGGAAGAAATAAAGTCATTCAGGTTTAGGACTTAATGGTGAATAAACGTTTAAATAAATAAAGACATAACTTAAATTTTTGGTGAGCTATACATGATATAATACATTTAAATTTGTGATTCCGTTGAATCTACGAGACTCTTAATGAACTTATCATTGTAATTGTCTATCGGTCTCTTCTTTTTCATTAGATCACCTATAAGGCTCTTGGCTCCCTGGACCCCAGTGCAGATTTGACAACACAACGTGGCCGTGTCTTCAAACTCCAAAATGAGACCCATCATCTCTTCGTAGGATTGTATCCTGGCACCACATACTACTTTACTCTGAAAGCCAGTACAAATAAAGGCTTCGGCCCCCCTGTGACCAGCCGTATTGCCACCAAAATCGCAGGTAAGGGAACGGCAGGGTTTTAGCTGAGGGTGCAGCTAAGATTATTGGATATTTTCCAAAGGCTAATGATGATTATATATATAATTATAGTAAAACAGACCCTCAAGTTCCAGTTTAATTGAGTTAATGTGACAGACATGTGTTCTTAATGGATGATATAGTGTATTGACTTCGGACAGAGTGGTGATAATGTATGAAATTATTTCAGGGAACATGAACTGACGGGGATAAATAAGCTTAATTTGATTGCTTACCTAATTATCTCTTGCATTTCTAAAATTTGCATAATTAGTTTTGTCATTTTTACTTCTTTTGTGTCTTAAAGAAGCTTTGCTGGAGCGAAAATCTCATTAGTGAGTCGTGTTATTGGCATAAATATCATTGGAATACAGTTAATGTAAAGTGAACAAAATAATGAGAACATGAATCGTAAACAACATCCTCCACAAGTTCAGCCGTATTCCTGTGGCCCGCGGCTGTCAGTTCATTCCGTTTCATAATGACGTGGCATTTGTGCAGCACGCCAGACACTGTTTATTAAAACCGTATTGTTCACTGAATCTAAACATTGTAATGAGAGAGTGACATTTTCAAAACGATTACATAGTAATGATCGTTTTGAGTCAGGCTTCAAAACTGTCTGCTTTCTCGTAGGAGTAAATACTGTGAAATTAATGTTTTTACAAATACATGAATATTAATTATGCATAATATTAAAACATGTTTTTGTGTGTTTGAAAGGCAGCTGAGTTCCAAGTTCAATACAAGCTAAACTCTGTTGACGGCATCTGTAACATGCTGTCAATTGCCGCATACAATAATTTTGACATCTCCTTCAGTTTGTAAAACATGCAAGAAGTGTTTACAATGCACTTTCATTTCAAAGCTCTTTTATTAATATTGGTAATTTTATATTTGCAAATGCAATTAACTCATACTTATGTTACATAAACCGATAAAAAGTGCAAAGCTTTTTAGACATCCGGTTCTCATCCATTTGTTCTTGTCATTTGAGATGAGGTCTGCTAAGCTATACAGTACATGCTTGCTTTATATCCCGATAGTTGGTGTCCTTTAACATGAATCTATGTGTCTGCAGCTCCATCCATGCCTGAATACGAGACCGACGCTCCTCTCAACGAGACAGACACGACAATCACTGTCCTCTTAAAACCTGCCCAATCACGAGGGGCCCCTGTCAGGTGAGCGTCCAAAGTATTTTGCTTATTTGAAAAACTGATCAAATGTAAAAAAATAAAAAAATATAAAAAAAAGTATACTTTGAATGCAATCTAAGTCGCTTGGGATAAAAGTGTCTGTCAAATGCATAAAAGTAAATGTTATTGATGTTGAGAATGTTTGCATTTATAACAATCTAAGGAAGTACTTGTCAAGTGTGATGTTTTGACATTTTCATTCAAAGGAGAATATAGAAAGGACAGATATAATGAGGAAATTTAAAAACCCTAATTGGCTGTTATCAGCTGACTGAGATTAGGAGCCTGAAAGTGTGCTTGCTGGACCTCAACATTGGCTGTGAAGATTTAAGTACTTGTTCACATGCTGATTGTGTCAAACTACAAAACTGGTAACATTTCCATAGTCCGCTAGACATTCTACTAGCTATAAGTACAGTAACTTTGCAGCTGTCAACTACCAGTCATTACAGAATTAGTAGACTGTCTGCTTAATATCTGTTTCAATAAAGAGACGTCCCATTTTGATGTCCGCATCAAATTAAATTTATGAAGGTGATTTTATATACATAGAAAGCATGTTAAATACAAGTAAAGTGTCTGCTTTACTGTTTCAAATAACTGTTATGAAAATAAAATGCCAAAATATGGGTGAAATATTGTTCTACCATCATTCATCTTAATGGATATATTTATGTAAACATTTTACAACTTACTTATTCTGACCTGAAATATATAAAAGAATTAGTGATAAAAGCTAATTAAAAAGCTTCTTTCTGACAAATGGGTAAAACCCATTGGCTTGAAGGACAGTAGCAAAGATTGGTAAAGATTTAAAATGAGATTTAAAAATTAGTTTTGGGGGCTGCACTGTAATCCTTAATGGGCGTCTTTTAATAACATATAATGATTCTGGTTCTAAATATGCCTGACAAGATTTTTAACTGTTGTTACACTGAAGGATATTTTAGTGGGTGTCTTCTTTAAATCATGGTAAAATGTATGACAGCCATTATTTTTCTGGTCAGAATTCTAATGTACGGGAGGAAAAACTAAATGTTAAGCTGTATTAAACTTCTATTGTTTTGATGCTTGAAAACCCCTTTTTGTCATTGACCCATCTGTTAACACTTTATTTTAATAGTTCCCTTACAGACGTTCTACTGACTGTAAGTAACTTTGCAAGTACATGTCAACTTATGCTACTAACTATAACCCTAACCCTGACTTAACAGTTGTAAAGGAGCAGCATGAACATTCATCAAAACCTTTTCTTTTGTGTTTTTTTTTTGGAAGAAATAAAGTCATTCAGGTTTAGGACTTAATGGTGAATAAACGTTTAAATAAATAAAGACATAACTTAAATTTTTGGTGAGCTATACATGATATAATACATTTAAATTTGTGATTCCGTTGAATCTACGAGACTCTTAATGAACTTATCATTGTAATTGTCTATCGGTCTCTTCTTTTTCATTAGATCACCTATAAGGCTCTTGGCTCCCTGGACCCCAGTGCAGATTTGACAACACAACGTGGCCGTGTCTTCAAACTCCAAAATGAGACCCATCATCTCTTCATAGGATTGTATCCTGGCACCACATACTACTTTACTCTGAAAGCCAGTACAAATAAAGGCTTCGGCCCCCCTGTGACCAGCCGTATTGCCACCAAAATCGCAGGTAAGGGAATGGCAGGGTTTTAGCTGAGGGTGCAGCTAAGATTATTGGATATTTTCCAAAGGCTAATGATGATTATATATATAATTATAGTAAAACAGACCCTCAAGTTCCAGTTTAATTGAGTTAATGTGACAGACATGTGTTCTTAATGGATGATATAGTGTATTGACTTCGGACAGAGTGGTGATAATGTATGAAATTATTTCAGGGAACATGAACTGACGGGGATAAATAAGCTTAATTTGATTGCTTACCTAATTATCTCTTGCATTTCTAAAATTTGCATAATTAGTTTTGTCATTTTTACTTCTTTTGTGTCTTAAAGAAGCTTTGCTGGAGCGAAAATCTCATTAGTGAGTCGTGTTATTGGCATAAATATCATTGGAATACAGTTAATGTAAAGTGAACAAAATAATGAGAACATGAATCGTAAACAACATCCTCCACAAGTTCAGCCGTATTCCTGTGGCCCGCGGCTGTCAGTTCATTCCGTTTCATAATGACGTGGCATTTGTGCAGCACGCCAGACACTGTTTATTAAAACCGTATTGTTCACTGAATCTAAACATTGTAATGAGAGAGTGACATTTTCAAAACGATTACATAGTAATGATCGTTTTGAGTCAGGCTTCAAAACTGTCTGCTTTCTCGTAGGAGTAAATACTGTGAAATTAATGTTTTTACAAATACATGAATATTAATTATGCATAATATTAAAACATGTTTTTGTGTGTTTGAAAGGCAGCTGAGTTCCAAGTTCAATACAAGCTAAACTCTGTTGACGGCATCTGTAACATGCTGTCAATTGCCGCATACAATAATTTTGACATCTCCTTCAGTTTGTAAAACATGCAAGAAGTGTTTACAATGCACTTTCATTTCAAAGCTCTTTTATTAATATTGGTCATTTTATATTTGCAAATGCAATTAACTCATACTTATGTTACATAAACCGATAAAAAGTGCAAAGCTTTTTAGACATCCGGTTCTCATCCATTTGTTCTTGTCATTTGAGATGAGGTCTGCTAAGCTATACAGTACATGCTTGCTTTATATCCCGATAGTTGGTGTCCTTTAACATGAATCTATGTGTCTGCAGCTCCATCCATGCCTGAATACGAGACCGACGCTCCTCTCAACGAGACAGACACGACAATCACTGTCCTCTTAAAACCTGCCCAATCACGAGGGGCCCCTGTCAGGTGAGCGTCCAAAGTATTTTGCTTATTTGAAAAACTGATCAAATGTAAAAAAATTAAAAAATATAAAAAAAAGTATACTTTGAATGCAATCTAAGTCGCTTGGGATAAAAGTGTCTGTCAAATGCATAAAAGTAAATGTTACTGATGTTGAGAATGTTTGCATTTATAACTTAATCTAAGGAAGTACTTGTCAAGTGTGATGTTTTGACATTTTCATTCAAAGGAGAATATAGAAAGGACAGATATAATGAGGAAATTTAAAAACCCTAATTGGCTGTTATCAGCTGACTGAGATTAGGAGCCTGAAAGTGTGCTTGCTGGACCTCAACATTGGCTGTGAAGATTTAAGTACTTGTTCACATGCTGATTGTGTCAAACTACAAAACTGGTAACATTTCCATAGTCCGCTAGACATTCTACTAGCTATAAGTACAGTAACTTTGCAGCTGTCAACTACCAGTCATTACAGAATTAGTAGACTGTCTGCTTAATATCTGTTTCAATAAAGAGACGTCCCATTTTGATGTCCGCATCAAATTAAATTTATGAAGGTGATTTTATATACATAGAAAGCATGTTAAATACAAGTAAAGTGTCTGCTTTACTGTTTCAAATAACTGTTATGAAAATAAAATGCCAAAATATGGGTGAAATATTGTTCTACCATCATTCATCTTAATGGATATATTTATGTAAACATTTTACAACTTACTTATTCTGACCTGAAATATATAAAAGAATTAGTGATAAAAGCTAATTAAAAAGCTTCTTTCTGACAAATGGGTAAAACCCATTGGCTTGAAGGACAGTAGCAAAGATTGGTAAAGATTTAAAATGAGATTTAAAAATTAGTTTTGGGGGCTGCACTGTAATCCTTAATGGGCGTCTTTTAATAACATATAATGATTCTGGTTCTAAATATGCCTGACAAGATTTTTAACTGTTGTTACACTGAAGGATATTTTAGTGGGTGTCTTCTTTAAATCATGGTAAAATGTATGACAGCCATTATTTTTCTGGTCAGAATTCTAATGTACGGGAGGAAAAACTAAATGTTAAGCTGTATTAAACTTCTATTGTTTTGATGCTTGAAAACCCCTTTTTGTCATTGACCCATCTGTTAACACTTTATTTTAATAGTTCCCTTACAGACGTTCTACTGACTGTAAGTAACTTTGCAAGTACATGTCAACTTATGCTACTAACTATAACCCTAACCCTGACTTAACAGTCTACTAATACTCTAATGAGAGTTAGTGTAGTTGCAAATGAAATGAATGAGAGTTAGCTGATATGTTGTTGCAAAGTTGCTTATAGTAAATAGAATATCCCATGTGGATTATGTAAATTAATTAATTAGATCTGCGGACAGATGCTAAGCAAATTAAAAGGCAAAAATACACCAAATTACCCATGATTCCTCTCTCCAATCATCCAAGAGGGGTCTAGTGCATCGACTGAATGAAGAAGTGCATTACTGTTGATTCACTCGGGGTCCTGAGGGTTTTTAAATGCAGTCATTCAAATAAGCATCATTTGTATGCTAAGCCTTCGAGGGGATCCTGGTCCATTTGGCTGTGTTTTGGCACTCAAACAGAGCCCTTCTCTGTGTGGAAATTCAGACTGTGAATGTGCAACAGATTTTGGCAAATTCTCGAAATTGCAAGTCGACACTGACTTAGAAGAACAGCACAGTTGATGTGCAATGGGAGTCTATCAGTAATTATGACAATTATTTGGTTGCAAGCACAATTCTGAGTTGTATTTGCCGGTATTATTGTAGTACCATTGAGATACTACTTTTTATTAATATTTTGAGTGACTTTTAATTTTTGTTTTAAATATTTTTAATTTTCAATTTAAAGTTTTAGTAATTTTTGCCTGTTTTTAATAGTTTTTTAATACTGTACATCTATATAGTTTTTATTCAATTTATTTCAGTTTTATTTATTGTAATGCATCAAGTTAAACTAAGTTGCAGTGAGAAATGTTGCCTTGGAAACTAGCTGAGATAAATGTTTTTTTATATATTTTATTTTAAGTAATAATAATTTGTAATGGCTTTAATTTTAGTTTCAGTTTGAGTTTTAAATAACTAATAGCATTTGGCAAGACAATATATGATAATATTCTATTCTATTCTATTCTATTCAATATATTTTTAAGGGTAAAATCAAAACCTATTAAACTCATGCCTGTTTTATAAAAAACATGTGGAAAAATGTTTAAAGTATTTCCATTGTTATTGTGCTCTACAATGCATATGACCCTGGCAATCCATAAGCGTCTTTATGAAAAATACGCAACTGAAAATTGTTTATAATTACAGCAGATTTTGACCAGGGTTACAGCGGACGCACAACACACGACATCCAGTATGCACTTAAAGCCATTAGTTTGAAATGGAAATCCAGCGTGTTTGAAAGAGAAAAGCAGGCAGGCCTCTTTGGTCATGGGAAATTATCCTTTATGAAAGATGCCAGATTAGAGGCTAGGATAATTTGCCACGTCTTTTCGGCGAAACATACATTTCCCTAATTGCACATAATTGGGAAGTATGTTCTTGGCGTAAGACCACATAATTGCAAACAAGTACTATTAGCACAGGGAGCTCAAAAGATGTCCTTATCTATTCACCGTGTACTGAAACACACACATGCCCCTCTCCAGTCCTTCCCCATGACAAGCACTTTCAAAAAGCCCCATGAGCACAAATCCGCCACCTCCCCTCCAGCTAATTACCGTAGTAGAGATTTCCCTCTGCTGGCTCACTACCGCATCGCCTGCCTCGTCGTTTTCTCTCAAGAGGAGAAGCAGCTGTGTATTTTTGGGTCTCATGCAGGTTTAAAGAGTTTTTTTTTTATTCCAAGAAGAGACTTTAATAGAGATGTTTAGCAGCTAGTTGTTAGCGTTAGAAAATTCTTGATGGCTGACAAGGCCTTCTGTGATTCTTAGAAAGCTACGGGAAGAGATGTTCTTGATGGTTTTAATGGCTCATTAAATTGCCTCGGGCACAGCTCCCCCTCTCTCTTTTTTGGATGTGCCATCGCTAGCTGAAGATATTTCTCAAATCGAGAGGCTGCAGCATAAGCGGCTAATACTAAAGCGTGTGCTTAAATATGAAAATTGGCTAATACATTAAGCTAGTTTTATTGTGCACCAATGTATTAAATCAAGTCCCATCCTACTGTTTTCTCATTGAATGTCATGTTTTCCTCATCACTATGTCACATTACAAAAATGAAATGCATTGTGAACATGTTTTATGTTGACTTAAATAAAAACCTATTGGAATTGAGCCTCTTCATTATTTTTTCTGAGACCTCATCAGAGACTAGCTACAATAATGACATATTAGGTACTTGTTTTGATATTTAGTACATTAATTCATCTTTTTTCCCTCTAGTGCTTATCAAGTGGTGGTTCAAGAGGAACGGAAGCAGAAAGTTCGCAGAGCCACTGATGTGTTGGAGTGTTTCTCCGTTCCTGTTAGTTTCAGAAATGCCTCCATCTTGAATTCACCTCACTATTTTGCGGCCGAACTCCCCCCTGTTAGCCTTGCTGTAGTACAGCCCTTTACTATAGGAGACAACAAGACTTATAATGGCTACTGGAACGCACCGCTGTCACCAGCCAAAAGCTACAGCATTTACTTTCAGGCCCTGAGCAAAGCCAATGGGGTGAGTATCCCATTTACTGTTTATTTCATTTACCAATTAAATCATCTTGATAACGGTTGACACTTGAGTATTGGTTGGTAAATTGAACTCAAACTGAATGAAATAATGAATTATATTTTGCACATAAGAATGGAACTTCATGACAATTAAACATTTTCCAATTCTCATCATGATGATCCCCAAAAATACTTGTATTATTTATTTTAGTATGTTTTGTACTAGCAAATGCTGTTAAGCATGCACATACCAAAAACTAATGCAGATGTACGTTAAAAAATATATAACAAAATCACACTGTTGGCACATCATTAGTATTATTATCAATAATATTTTTTCCTAATATATAGCTGTGTCTTTTACTATAAAATAGTATTGCAATAATAGGAATCAAAATAAGAAACAGTATTGACAAAAATGTGAATTATAAAAAATGTAAATAAAAAAACTCGAATGATAATGATAATGATAATGGTGGCAAATGGTGGGAAAAAAATATTTTTTACTCTTATATTTACTGACATTATTTTGAGAGATTCAGCCTTAAACAAGTCATCTTTACATTTTAGAAGTCTTACCATTGGGGGAAAAATCATTTCAAGCATGAAGCTGTAGGAAAAAGTCTAAAAGTACACAGAACATAACCTCAGCTGTACAGTATATCATCCAAAATAACAAGGCTATTCTAGAAACAGCTAGATGTATTAATGCATATTTAGATATATATATTCACATATTAGCATTTCAGCAGGCATAATGCACTCAGTAAAGGCTCCATTTGGGCAGGCTGCATTGCTGTGCATTTTGAAGTATGTGGTTCCCAATTTGATTGGATTTGATTCAATTCAATCTCTCAGTCTCAGGCGGCTGGAGAAAAGCACTCAAAAACAACCTCAGACCGTGACCCAGATAATTTGATTGGAGATTCATGCATAAAATATGGATTTAGGTTGGTAGTTCAGATTTGTTTTCAACTTACCTTGTTCCAAGTGTGTTCGAGGAGCACTCGGTGTAAATGTGTGCCATTCAAATTTTTTCATTTCCACGGCGCAAAGTAACAAATAAATTCACAATGCAATTCAGTTTTGAGATTACCTGTCATGATAGCTATTCAAACCGGCTTGATGTAGCAGTTGTCATTAGTAGAATCATTTATTGATTTGACGCACATTCTGTGCAGTTTTGTAATGATATTTATGCATGAAATATACAAAACAATATCACTGCTTTATACAGTGGCTCTGAAGAGTATTTGGACTTTGGACACTTAAAAATGTCTGAATGTGATTGCACTGGATAACAAATATATCGCACCAACTGTAGACAAGTGCACATTTCAAGCTTCGTTTAGTTTGTACTATCTAATAAAGACATTCAGAGATTAAGTGTCACTTAAGCATCCAAGTACTTGTAGAATAAATAATGTGGATAATTCAGCTTGTTATCAAACTGTAAATTTGCTGGAGACACTTGATTCTCTCCCCAGCTCTGTGCTCCCTGAGGTTCTTCCACCAAGTATTCCTATGGTTTTGTTCTCTAGTTTTGCAAATATTACCATTGATGACATCTCAAAATTAGTGTTGACAATGAACTCAACCACTTGTATCCTTGACCCTGTTCCAACTACTGTTCTTAAGGGGTGTCTGTCAACAATCAGTCCCCTCATATTAAATATTGTTAACACTTCTCTTATTACTGGGATTGTTCCGTGTGAACTTAAGGTTGCAGCTATCACACCCGTCCTTAAAAAGCCTGGATGTGATTCCTCTGATCTAACAAATTACAGGCCCATTTCAAATCTTCTTTTTCAGGCTAAAGTCCTGGAACATGTTGTTATGGCACAATTACATTCTCATTTGTCATTTAACAACCTTTCAGAGCCTTTCCAATCTGGGATTAGATCGGGGCACAGTACTGAGACCGCTTTGATTCGCGTTATGAACGACCTCCTGGTCTCAGTTGACTCTGGTGCCTCTTGGTTTTGTTAGACCTGAGTGCAGTATTTGACACAGTATGTCACTCTTTATTACTTGATAGACTAAAGATTTGGCTCGGTATCTCTGGCACTGTGTTTGAATGGTTCAAAACCTACCCTACAAATAGATCCCAGTTTGTTGTTCTGGGAAATAACAAATCCGACATTAGTCAGGTCCAATATGGTGTCCCTCAGGGTTCTGTTTTGGGGCCCATACTATTTAGCATTTATATGCTTCCTCTGGGGCAAATCATTAGAAAACACGGTCTTGGGTATCATTTTTATGCTGACGATACCCAAATATACATCAGTTCAAAGTCTGATGTTACAGTTAGTTCTGAAATCCTTTCTGAATGTTTGCAGACTATAAAATTATAGATGCTTCACAAATTTCTAAAATTAAATAACTCTAAGACTGAGGTTCTTCTTGTTGGCACACCAGCAGCCATCCACAAATGTAGCAGCTTTAATCTGACACTGGATAACAGCTCTGTACTGCCATCTATACACGCTCGTAACCTTGGTGTGATATTTGATGTTAATTTGACATTGGAGGCTCACATTAGGAGTGTTACTAAATCAGCATTTTATTATCTCAGAAATATTGCTAGGATTTGGTCTTTCCTTTCTACACCTGATACTGAAAGGCTCATCCATGCCTTTATCACTTCAATAATTGATTACTGCAATTCTCTTTACATTGGTCTACCAGCAAAATCTATCAAACGGCTACAATTTATTCAGAACTCAGCAGCACGTGTTCTCACTCACACAGCCTCACGGCAGCACATCAGTGGTGTCCTCTGTAACTTGTACTAGCTTCCAGTTCAATCGCGTATTGAGTTTAAAATTCTTGTTTTAACTTATAAACCTGTGCATGAATTGGCTCCTTCTTATGTTTGTGATTTAGTTACCCCTTACATGCCTTTTCGTCCTCTTCACTCTGCTGATTCTCTTCTTCTTTATCAGCCCCACTCCAGATTAAAAACTATGGGACAGAGAGCTTTCTCTTGTGCCACTCAGAGGTTATGGAATACGCTTCTTTTGAATATTCAAAGTGCTCCTACAATAAGTACTTTTAAGAAACTGTTGAAAACCCACCTCTTTAAAATTGCTTATCATGATTAAGCTGTTGATTAGGGTTTTGATTTTATTTATTTTGCTGTTTTATATTGTATCATTGTTTTTTTATATTTTAATCGTTTTTTTACATTGTTGTAGCGCTTTGGGTGTGAAAAAAGCGCATTATAAATAAAATGTATTATTATTATTATCATTATTATTATTATTAGAAAGTTGCTTAACAAAACCAGAAGCTAAAAACATCATACAACGCGATACTCTCTAATGAACTACCTTTGCTCCATAATGTCAGCATGAACAGGAACTGTAGTCCACATTAAATTTTCTAGTAATCATTATCACTTTCCATGGAGTCCAAATGCCAGCATGCCTTTTAAAGGCCTTTTCAGATGAAGTAAATTCTGAGGGTGTTAATATACTTCTGTCAGGACCACTATCGTCAAAATGATAGATACTTAGCATAAAGTTTGGTTTGGCGGTATGGTTCTGTTCTGGGCAAAAAACCTCCCTGCCCATCCATGCAGCCTGTCATGAATGAGCAGGGAGAGCAGCAATAATAACCCCCCCAGGGTTAACAGAACAGAACAAGGCAGATATCATTAATGTACTCAATTGGAGAAGTTTTGACATGTCCTGACATTTGTGCTTTTTTCAGTTGCTAATAAACATTTTAATGACTAAGTTTAGTAGCACCATAATCAGCACAAACTGGGCTACAATAATATGTGAGCAGCATGTATGTATGTGATTGTGTTTTTGAGAAAACAACGTTTATGCGTGCTTAGTGAAAAACTAAAATTTTAAAGTCACTGAAATAAGGCCATAGAAAGGTGGAGCTGGGGATGGAGGAGGGTAATTTGCTCCGAAGCAAGCTGAAAAGCTGCTGAATAATACTGAATACAGCTTATATAGGAATGCCACGATAGGTGTCGTATTCCTATAGGTAGATGTGATCAGCTGAGAATCAGCTGATGCAAGCGTGACTCACGTGACCTGCCAGAACTAACGCTAAAGCTTAATTTTTTTTTATTCCTGCTTAAGCCAATCATAGGTTGATTCCCCTGAAAAGAGCCCTTCTTCAGTTGACATTACACACATCAACTTTAGAGAAATACTGCTGTTTCTTGATCTCTCCGTGTAGCAGCAGTCCATAAACGATGGCATCTCAGAGCGTCGCTGCCCACAGAGTTTCTTCTGGCACTGCTAATAGCACCAGGTCACTTTTGATAGACTTTATCACGTCAGTCTTGCCAGAGATGGCGAGAGAGGGAGAGATGGTCAGGAGAATAGTGGTCTCAAAATGTTCTAAGCTAAATTAGGATTCCTCCGCTCGCTTTTGTCCCTCTGGTGTGTTTGTGAACAGGACCGCAGACGCTCGGGCTAAAAGAGCAAGTAATTGCTGCTGCAGGCGTCTTTTGTTCTGAAAGAGGGATATGGAGTTGTGAAGAGGCACTCGCTCGTTTAAGTGGCTGAACCCACACTAGACAGAAATTGAAACAGACACATGCAGCTTTTAACAAAATGGAACCCGCAAAGCACGTCCTGTCTTCGGTGTGTGGCAGGTAAAAGGGCAAGTTTGTGGCACTTTGTTTCCACGGATGTGTTGCTCTAATAGGAACAAACACTCTAGAGGAAAACAGATTGCATTTAAAAGTCGCGACCAGTCAAAGGTGAAATCACGGCTTGTTTGAGTGTGGCAGCTATTATTGGACAACTTGATTAAAAAAATAACCAAGCAAACAAAGTGTTTAAAAACGTTTCCCCAGGTCTAGTGTTAAATGGTCAGTTGGCAGGTCACATAAATAAAGAAGAAATATTTAAGAATCTGCACTATTTCTTGATTAAATTCTCAGGAAAGGTCAGATTTCCTTTATTTCACCGAAGCACAAGATGCTCTTATAATAATAATAATAATTAAAATAATAATAATAATATATATTTTTAA